TCAGACGGGTCATCTCTTTCTGGAAGCCGGCTGGCTTCTTGGAGATGCCAGGCTAAGTGGTAAGAGCACAGGCCACTTCCTCCTCTGGATCTAGGTGGGCAAGCTGATGGAGGCCAGGTTCCAGATACATGGCCGGCTGCGTTCTAATTAATTACATGCCGTTTCTTAATTATACCAGAAACTCGCTTTCTGCCCTTTGAAAAACTCTCCCCTGTATGGGAATTTTTCTTTTACACTCTGTTCCCTTGGCTCCTGATCTGATTTTTTTTTCTTTCTCTACTGTCCAATAGAGGTGTGGGAAAAAAAATTGAAATCTACATCTCAATCAGAGAGCTGCACCTCTTCCTTCAGTTACTCACTGATTCATTCAACAAACATTTGCGGAGGGTTATTCTGTGATGAATGGCGTGTGCTGAGTGCTGGGGACACAATGCTGGCTCTACCCTCCTGTGTCCCCAGTTCTTGATGGCTCTTTGAGAAGACTCAAGGGAATAACTCTACATGAATGCATATGCATATATATGTATGCATGTGTGTGTGTGTGCATGCACATGTCTGCTGTGCAATATCATGTGTGTTCAGAGGACAGATTACAGGAGGTAGGTCTCACCTTCTATCATCTCGGCCTAGAAACTGAACTCAGGCCATCAGGCTTGGTGACCAGTGCCTTAAAGGTCGAGCCTTTGTGGGAGGCAGATGGAGAAGAGCGAGGGAGAGAAGTCAGGGAAAGGAACTGAATGATGGCCCCTGGCCTTCTCACCCACGTACTGAGAGGTGGGTGGTTTTTTGTTTTTTGTTTTTTTTAATTACTGTTTTATACATGCAGAAACTGATATGAAGAGTTTGTTACCAATCCACAAACTGTAGAGCTGGGCTTTAAACACACAGGCGTGACCCTGTGTGTGTATGTGGGGGGGCGGGGAGGGTGCACACGCTCTTGCTCTAGGTCTGCTGACTCAGCAGTGACACAGCAGGACTGTGGCCAACCTGGGAACCTCCTTTCCCTAAAAGTCCTCTACCTGGTGTTCTAGGCCAGTGGTTTTTAATACTCGAACACACATCAGAATCACCTGCAAGGCCTGTTAAAACAAATGATGGCCAGCCCCACCCCCAGAGTTTATGATTCAGTACATCTAGGGCAGGGCTAAGAATTTGCATATCCAAGTTCCCATGTGAGGATGAGCCAGGGACCTCTTTTATTTATTTAGTTACTTTCAGTGGTGGGGCTGGGGTTTGAGCCCAGCACCTTGTACTGCCAGGCAAATGCTCTAACTGAACTACACTGCCAGTCACAGCAGCTACATTCTGAGAATGGTGTTCTGAATGAGCCAATAATAATTATTTCTTACAGATAATAACTCTCTCTTCCCTTGCCTCATTTCAAAAGTTACACAGGCTTGTAAAACACAAGTATAAAAAAATGTGACTCGGGTGTGGTGGCACACACCTGTAATCCCAAACCCTGGCAAAGCTGAGGCAGGAGGATCACGAGTTGAAAGCCAGCCTGAGCTACTTAGTTCCAGACAGGGTACACAGAGGCACTGTCTCTTATACAAGGAACCTACAGAAAAAACAAAAAGCAGGGAATTGATCTACATTCTTATACTTAATGTCTAGGCATAGAAGCTTTAGTTTCTGGTTGGGATCCAGGTGAGACCCCAGCTCTTCCAGGAGATCTTGGCTAGTCAGTGTCCCTTGACATGCCCATCCCTCTTGAGGTTACAGAGAAGGACGAATGAGACGTGCTGATCAAGCGCTTGTTAGGTCGTCTAATGTGTAGTCGGGGACCTGGGCTCGGCCACTGTCCCTCTTTTTGTCTGAACCTCGCGCAAGGCTTGGGAAGTTGGCGGGGACTGCACCGGTCAGCGCGCTTCCCAGACCGCGCGTGCGCGCAGCCACTGCCGTTACTACCACCACTACCCCGCCCCCGCTCCGCCCCGTTTTACAGCCGGAGCTTGATGAGGGCTTTTAACTTTTCATTCACCAGCCCCGTAACTCCGACTTTTAATAACACACCTCCTGCACGACAAAAATTTGCTCCTGGCAATCATGGTTTCGACCACAAAACCGCAGCGGGGCGGCGCTCCGGGTTAACTCTTTCAGCTCTGAGGACCGGGGTGGAGGGGGTACGTTGTGAGCCCTCTAGCCTTGGGCCTTCCTCCGTGGTCATTCTCCAGTCTCTGTTCCCGATAGCAGAGGGCTCAGGCTGCCGGATGCAGAGGCCAGGGTGCTGAGGCCAGGGTGCTGAGGCATGGTATCCTCAGGATGCACCAACTGTATACCAGTGGTGGTGAAGCCCTCCATCTCAGCAGGTGTCTTGGACAGCCTTGAACACGGTAGGACACTTAGGAGAGTCCAAAGAGGCCAATAGTCACCAGGGATCTGGCTCTCAAGAGAGCCACAGTCTCCGGACTAGCCTGACGGCCCATTTAACCAGGCCCGTGGTGGGCATTGTGCGAGACCAGGCTGTGTTCCCTGAGAAGCCAGAAGTCTACAGCCCCAGGAACCCTCGCCTGCCGCCTGCTCTCGCCGCCCGCCGCCAGGTATTGCTAGGCTGCGGGCTGGAAGCACCAGGGGGGCTGGCAGAGGCGCCAGGCACTGGGCCTGACCACATGAAAGGCCGGGTGCTCACCACCCACCAGCTGCCTGGAGCTGGTTTCTGACTACACTGCCTGGCCTTTCCAGGGCCACCTCCCACCGGAGGAGGCCTGGGAATGGGGCTAGTGGGGCCAGGTGGTCCACTACCGAAGTTCAGCGTTCCCCTGCCAGGTAGGTGTGTTCATAGTCCCCGTTTTACTAGTGAGGATGCTAGAGTCAGGGAGGGCAAACTCATTCAACTTGACTTGAAGCAAATTCAAACCTGACTTTTCACCATTGCCCCAGGGCCGACAAAGTCGTTCATTCTCTGAGGGATGGAGATGGCTGCTTGGCCTAACATGATTTCTAGGCAAGGCTCTTCAAGACCAAGGTGGCGGCGGCGGCGGCGGCGGCTGCGGCGGCGGCAGCGGTGGCAGCAGCTGCCACCACCGCCGCCGCTCAGAACTTGCAAGCCAAGCAATTCACACACACACACACACACACACACACACACACACACACACACACACACACCAGCCCTCAGGGTCAGCCATTGTAATTGCAAATAGTAGCTTCAAAGTTGGCCTGCAATTACTCACAGGTACAGGCTTCCAGGAATGGAGAATCCTCTACTGTCAGCTGATTTGACTTCAAACCCAAACCATTAAGGACAAGCAGAAAAACCTTCTGTTCAAATAGGCCAGCTTCAGGACACATACCCCCTAAGGAGCAACCTGAATAGATTGTCTGCAGTCTTGGCAGCTTTAATTGGCATTCTAAGTCGTGCTGGGGACATACCTCAAGTGCGTTCATGAGTGTGTGTGTGTGTGTGTGTGTGTGTGTGTGTATTTTCAAAGTATGGGGAAATAAAAAGCAAGAGGGTTCAGAAATGCCCAATTGCTCATTCTTCCATGAAGTGAGGGTGGCATTATTAGCATGCTCCTTACAAAGCTTTAAAGCAATGGCTATTCTAAAATTAAATCCCTTAACAACTCTATAAGCACTACTACTGGTCACAATCTATGGGTAAGGAGACTAGGGCTTGGGTAAAGTGACTTGCCCAAAGTCACTCAGGTAATAAGTGAGGAGTGGGGACTTGAACCCAGGTGCCAGTACAGTGCTTCTACTTTTACTTAGTTGTGGTCCAATTGTCAACACATTGTACCAAGAATCCATTCAAAAAGAAATCTGATGCTGGCCACATAATCACTATGTGGTTCACATAGTGACTGTAGCTGGTAAATGTAGACACCATTGTGAATGGAGCTGGCCGAGCCAGGCACACCTAAGAGCTCCCAGGTATGCTGGAGTCCTGTCTGCATTAGGATCCACCAACTCTTCTGTCTTTAAGCGTTTAAATTCTTAACCTGCTGAGGAAAAGCTCCAAGGAGAGAGACCAAGATAGGAAGGAAACAGAACTGTTCAACTCTCCCATCTGCTCACGCACCTCGAAAGATGGGAGGAAAGGGAAGTTGGTGTTGAAGAACTCCGGCCTTTCCTGCTAGCTCCCTGTCCACACCCTAACCTTATCCCATCCTCTCTAAGTCTGGACCTGAAGCAGAGGCCCGGAGTGAGGTCAGCATCAGCCAGTCGGGAATTCTGAATCCCAGATGTGGGCAGGAAGGCACCTGCCAGGCAACACAGATGACCTCACCGAAAATCACTCCTCGGCTTCCCCAGTTTTAGAACTACCGTATCTGCCTCTGGGTAAAACTGACCACATTTTATTGAACTCAGCTTCAGACCTGGCTCTTTGGTAAGCATTTTACAGCTTTCAGCACACTTAAGAATCCTACAAAAACGTTCTTGTTCCCATTTTTCAAATGAGGAAAACGAAGCTCAGATAAGTCGAATGACTTGTTCAAGAAAGAACAGCTTGGGAGGGACAGGCGCTGGGTTTGAACTTCAGGAAAACCACTACAGAGAAGTGTAGAACTTCAGAAAAGCCACTACACTGTCGTAGCCTCTCTTGGGATTGTTCCAACTCAACAAACAAGTACCCTTAGAGAAACCCAACTCTTTGCCTAAGACAGCTCCGAGAGCCGCCTCAAAGAAGTTCCCTTTGGCAAGAGGAGAGAGAGCGTCCACGGGGCTGAAGTGTCTCTGATTTCCAAGGCCCCTTCAGAGTATCAAAACACCATGCCAAAATTCACAGTTTCAGTCAGCCCTGTGTTTCTCTTCCTCGAAACTGCTCAGCCCAGAGAGAAAGAAAAATTATTTTCCCAGGGAAACAGTCAGCCCTAGATAGAGAGCTGAACGTGCCTCAACACGCCAGGGCAGGATCGTCAGCCCATTCATTCACCCTTACAAATTGCCGTGTGAATCCTGGCGCCGGCCTCCCTGCTCTTCCCTCTGCAGGAAACCCCAGCCAGCCTCGGTGTGCTGGGGAGGCCGGGAAGCCCGGCATCCACCGCTTTACTCACTCAAGTTCATTCGACATCTTCCTTGTCCGAGGTCGGGCTCCAGCGATCTTGCTCCAGGTACCCAGGCGCCGCTGCCTGCTGGCCTCTAACTCGCGGCTGACATGGACATGCCCTCCCTGCCCGGGGAAGTGTTTGATTTCTGTTGAGCTGTGGATGTGGAGGTTTTGCTGACAGCGGCTCCCTGCGGCGTTGGCGCTGATTGGCTGTGGGCACAGGTGCCGACTGCAAGTACTTCGCAGCAGGTGCAGCTGTTAACGCTTGGCCCAGCAGCAGGGGCGGAGCTCTGGGGGGCTGACCGGGTGGAGCTGGCCAATTCCTTCCTTGCTGAGGGGCTGAGGGGGTGGGGACCAGGGAGGAGGGAGGAGACAGACGTCGGGAAGGAACATCGGGACCAGAGGAAAAATACAGAAACAGACAGGTTACTTGGCAAAAAGGAAGGCTCGGCCCACCTCCAGCTCGTATCCTGGATCCCAGAAACATCTCCCCGCAGACATCACATCTCTTTCCATTCACCTTCTCTGCCCTTCTCACAGAAGGGAGATCTCTGCACCCCTTCCTTTTCTTCAGAACTTTCCCCTTAAGGTAACGTTATGGGTTCTAGTTTTGTTATCCAAGTGATTTCTTCTGATTCTCACAGTGACCAGCTAGGGTGGTATTACTGTCAACTCTGCCCCCTCCCCAGCCATGCCCTTTACATGAGAGGGAGGAAATGGAGGAGGGAGGTAAGGGGGCTTGCCTAAGGGTGAGAGCTGGTGTCAGAGCCCCCTCAGTCATCCATGAGACTAGCTGCTCCTTGAGTTGAAGTTGGTGGCCTCAGTCCGCAGGGGACATTTACTGGGTACCTACATGTGCAAGGTCTCACTCTGGATTCTGGGGCAACAGAGGAAACAAATCCCGGTTTCTGCTTGGGAGGAGTTTGCTACCCCCTACCCCCTTCACACACACGAACCCATGTGCGTGCGTGCGTGCGTGCGTGCGTGCGTGTGTGTGTGTGTGTGTGTGTGTGTGTGTGTGTTTTAGGGGTGGGGAAGTAGGGCAGGGCAGCCTTTCATCTTGTGTGATGCCAATCTCAATGGGATGTGGGCAGACCACATGCCTCTGGCCAGCCCAGAAAGGATGGAAAAGTTGAAGGTGGTTGCCTCAGAAGCCTTAGCTGGCTGGCCATTTTAAGTGTTTGGCTCTGTGCTGGGCACTCAGGAGAAATCAGACGCCTTTTAAGTGAAGGGATGGTGGAGGAACGGCCGTGAGCAGTCTGGGGTGGCAAACCCAGAATGCCAGCAAGTGCCAGCAGAAACAAAGAGCTTCCATCAGGGTTAGTGGGAAAAGAAATCTAAGGCACACATCTTGGAATCGTACCTTTGCCCTTTCTGACCGCTACCCTCACCCCCTGCTTGGCAAAGCACTTCTTTGCTCTGTGTTCCTGGGCACCTCCCCGTGAGCATTCTCCTTCCCTCTTGGTGAAAGGCAAGCAAAGTCTCTGACGAGATGGCGCTTTTCAGGGTAACGTTGAAATTCAAGGGAGCCCTCTTAGGATGGGGTGCTGGGTTTGAAGAATGATCTGAGTGATTTCTCACTGGAGTCTGTTTAGAGGCCACCCCAGAGAGCTCCGATAACAGCAAAGAACCATAGTGACTGCTAATACAGCCTGCTCTGTGGAGTAGCCCTCTCCAGTCATGCTTGTGAAAGCAGACATCCGTCCCTGGATTTCACGCCGCGTTATTCTGTTCTCTGCAAAGCCCTTGGGACTTCCTCGTAGTCTTCTCATCTAGTCCATCTATCCTCCCTTCCTCTGCAATGTGAGCTCCATGGGAGCAGTGTCTTGGTCACTGTCCAGGGCTGGCTTCAGTGTCTGGCTCCCAGTAGGTGCTCTGCATGTTGCATAGACCAGGTATCATGCCAAACCTTCATATGCATCATGGCATTACCAAAAGGGAGCCAGGCACTTCATTGTCATCCCCTGAGATGAGGGAACAGGAGTACAAATAGCTCACTGCTGTTGAAGGCGGCGGCAGAGTTAGCGGTGGACCCGCTCTGCCAGCGGTCACTCACAGAGGTGACAGTTGACGGGAGCTGCAGGCCCGCTGCAGTCCGAAGGATGGCACACTTCTCTCTGTAGCTGTCTACCTCACCTCGTGCACGGCTCGAGAGTTTCTGTCAGCTGTGTTGCAATGGCCGTGGTATGACTCATGCTGGCTGAGCTCGGGAGGGGGTTGTGCTGGGATCTCAGGTGGCATGTCTTTGCTCGCTGGCCTTTATAAATGGGTCCTCTCCCTCTTTGGGTCCTGGCTCTATAGTCACAGCCACCATCAGAGTTCAGCAGAGGGCTTTTGTGCCCCCTTACACAAGAAGCCTCCAGAAGGTGCCCTGGATGAGATGGAAGGACTAGTGGTCTGGGGTAGGTACCAAGGATGCCAGGAGATAGGGTCACAGGAGTCCTCCCAGCCACGTGGCAAGGCCAACGCAGACCTTTACTGCCACAGCTCAGAGAGGTCAAGCTTCTGAAGGGACACTGCTTAAGCCTAGCTGCCTGCCTTTCCTACTCCTGGGGAACATGCCCCTGCACGGACAGCTCAGTTCTTGGTTGCTCTGTCTAGGAAATTATAAGCAGAGACCAGCCAATCAGATGTAACATAATAATTATATCCACTAAAAATCACACTAACTAATGATGGCTGCTATTCCCTGTCTGTGTTACCTCTGTTAGGGGATACTATTTCTAGAAGACACAGAACTGAGTTCAAGTCCCCGCCCAGGCACTTAGCAGCACCATGAGGTTGGACAAGTGACTATGGTCTAGCCTCATTTTCCTCCCCTGTATTTGGATACAAAATTGTGCTCCCCCTCACGAGGTGACCGGGTTGAATCAGATGGTGCATATGAAGTGTTTCGTGTAGTACTCAGCACCTAGTACTTGGTGGTTAGAAAAAACCGTTTCTGCATCAGGCTTCACCATTGCAACTTCATTTCAATCTACAGAAGAAAATTGGCAGCCCTTTTTTATAAACTAAGAACTTAGGCTAAGGCTAAATGATTGGCTGAAAGGCGGAAGCTACTAAGTGAAAGCTGAGATGGGAGCCCTGATTCTGTGCTGCTCCGATCTGCATTAAGTCGACGACTGCTCTGGGGTCAGGTTCTACCTATCCTCTGGCCACTTGCTAAGGCTTACGGCTGAGTCAGAGTCCCCACCCCCAAGAGACCAGATGAGGGAATCACTATGTGGATGGGCTCACATATCACTATCACCAAGAAGAGTTGCTTTGTCTCTGCAGGCCTGGTGACATGTGCCCTTGGAGCGTGGCACCGTCCTTCATCCCTCCCCATCCTTTCCAGAATGATGACTGCTCATGATTCGCCTGCTGCAGAAGAGTGATACCCACCTCAGGACCACAGTGCTGTTAGCACCAGTCCTCAGGGTTTCTCTGAACACCTGTGAAGGTTGCGACCCCACAACTACATTCGATGTGATGGCCTCACTAACAGCCCTGTCATCTAACACCCCAGATCTTCCTGACCGTCCAGAACTCATGAGCATCTGGTGGCCTCTAAGAAAATATTGAATGGTGAATGCCCTGCAGTGGTGCTCTGTGGGGACCAAAATGACAAGATTGCATTTATCCCTTGCCCCCTCATGCCCGGCAGTCTGTGTCACTTTAACACTTCGGACTACACAGTTCTGCAGCTCCACCATCATCAAACAAGGCGAAGTATGTAGCTGGGTGGCACAGATTTTGTAGGGCCTGGGCTTGATTTCTGGCACCTCCCACCCCAGAAAGTGATTAACCCAAACTAGTGACTACAGACCAGACTGCATAACCATTGTGTTCCTGTCCTTCCTAGGGCGAAGGCTGAGATAAAGAGACAAGACCGAGGGCTCAGGAGATGATTCAGTCAGGAAAGGGCTTGTCATGCAATCATAGCCCAAGTTTATCCCCAGAACCCACATTCAAAACAAAAAAACCAAAGCAGGTGTGGTGGTGCATGCTCACAATCGCAGAGTTAGGGGGTTAGAGGCAGGCAGATCCCTGGCGGATTTCTGGGGCTCACTGGATCCCCAGTAAGTCCAAGGCCTGTGAGAGAACCTGCCTCAAAGAACCCAAGATGGAGTGAGCCTGAAAAATGGCACTGGAGAAAATACCTGGACACACACAAGCATGCACACATATGCCCACACAAAGAGAAGACTCGGAGTCAGCCGACATATCAGCTCTAAGCAGTGAGCATAGATATCAGATCTGACCTTGACTTGGCAATGACAGTTATTGTCACTTACTAAGCAAACTCTATGGTACTTGCTCAGAGCCTCCCCCTGTAAGAGTGGGGCACAGGGTTCCCTTCCCAGAGGGGCCTGCTTCCTGTAAAACTGTTTCTGCCTTACTGAAGGCTATGACAAGTGCCAGAGACCTTGGACAAAAGCCTTCACTGACTGCAGTGCTCAGTTTCCCTCATTACTGATGTCAGGATTAAGCAACACTCTGATGGACTCCAGTGGGCCAGGCAGTGGTCTCACGCTTGATGTGTGGTGCAACACGTGACTCTTGAGTCCTCTAAATTAGTTGCTATGATTGAGTTGATCTTGCAGAGGCCGAGAGAGGTGATGTCATATCTAAGGCTCTCCGTGTGGTCCCAGGACAGGACCACACAGAGGTCTGCCTGCCCCCAGAGCCTTCCAAAGGACTGGAAACAGTCCTTTGAGCTTGTCCGGGCCTAGCATGACTTGACAGGTAAAGGGGGAAGGCAGATGAAAGTTGGCAAGGTGGTTGACATTTTGTGTGAAGGGGCTGTGGGAGCTGTGAGCGTCCAGAGAGTGGGAATGATGCAAAGAAAGGCCTTACACAGCAGTCGCCCCAGGCCTCGGCACCACAGGCGGCCAATGAATAGCTTGAACCAATGGAAATATGGGTGTCATTTACAACAGGTTCTAACACTCTGGATAAGCTGGCTGTTGCCATCTCCCCTCACCCACAAGGGGACCCCTGAACTTGAAACCCACGCTCCCCTTAGTGTATCTCAGGGTCTTCGTCCTGGGCCTGTGATTTCACATCAGTAAGTTTCCCCATCATCTCTCATTCCCGAGGACTGAGTTAGATGAGCCCTTGATGGAAGGTCAGTGGCAAAAACTTGGTACCTAATAAAGGAATGCTGTGTAGGTGGGCACTGCTTAGCAGGGGTCCGACCAACCAGCTCCTGGTTCCAATGTGAACAGCCATGTTCACAGCATCCTTACCCAGCCTCCCTTACAACAGCC